GGGCTAGAGAGACGGCTCATCAGTTAAGAGTGTTTGTTGCGCATGGGAATCAGAATTTGGATCCCAGCCCCCACCTAAGAAGCCAGGCATCCAGTGGACACATTTTGGAGCAGAAGCTAAACTCTTCGGGCAGGCACAGGAAGCAAGCGTGACTGGAGATCTGGCAAGGCTTAAGAACTCTCTAAGCCCCGCCCCAGTGACTTGCTTCCTCTGGCATAGCCACAACCTTCTAAGACCTCCCAAAACAACTCCACCAGGGGGGACGAAATGTCCAAATACTTGGAGTCTATGGGGGACATTCTTATTCAAACCACCATGCCCTGCCTCAAAGGAATGAGTGGAGAGTGATAGAGGACACCCAACGCCCTCTTCTGGTCTGCATACACACAGCCTGTGTGGGCCCACACACGCACACCCCCACACACACACAGCACACGCACACCACACACAAATCTATAAAAGGGGGCGTGGAGGTTGGGGATTTAGCTCAGTGTTTAGCCATACTGCTCTACAAAGTACCCAAGTTCCATTCCCAGCACCCATGTCAGGCAGCTCACAACTGCCTGTAACTCCATCTCCAAGGGATCCAATGCCTCTGGCCTCCATGGGCACCTGCACTCATGTGTACATATCCACACACAGACACATACACATATCCACTTAATTAAAAATATATATTTAAATTGTATACAAATGCTCATGATAATATTAAGAGTCAAGCCAGGCGTGGTGGCACACGCTTTTAATCCCAGCACTTGGGAGGCAGAGGCAGGAGGATCTTTGTGAGTTCAAGGCTAGCCTGGTCTATCTACATAGTGAGTTCCAGGTCAACTGGGGCTACAGAGAGACCCTGTCTCAAAAACAAATGCAAAACATATATATCATTGAGTATTCTGTTCCTGTTTTTCTCCCCATTATGTTCCCTTGTTCCTTCTTGCTCCTCCCTCAGGCCCCTTCTGCTCTTGTGTCATTCATAGATGAGAGGTGATAGATGATAGATGATAGATAGATGATAGATAGAGGCAATACACACATACACACAAAAAAATAAAAATAATAAAATATTTTTTAAAAAAAGAAAGAAAAATTAAGGGTCAAAAGATGGAAACAACTGAAATACCCATCAACTGATGATAGATAAAATGTGGCATAGCTCTACCATGAAGCATTCAGTCATAAAAGCAAATCACTGGGGCCGGAAAGATGGCTCCATGGTTAAGAGCAATGGCCGCTCTTGCAGAGGATCTGGGTTCTGTTCCCAGCACTCACATGGTAGCTAACAACTGTCTGTAACTCCAGTTCCAGAGGACCAATGCCCTCCTCTGACCTCTGCAGCCACTGCACATACATGGTGTAGGCAAAACACTCAGACACATAAAAATCATTTTTTAATATTTTGTTATTTTTAGTCTATGTGTATGAGTGTATTGCCTGCATGTGTGTAGGTGCACTCCATGAAATGCCCATGGAGGTCAGAAGAGGATGTTGGATTCTCTGGAACTGGGGTTACAGACAGTTAACTGCCATGTGGGTGTTGGGAATCAAACCCAGGTCCTCTGGGAAGAGCAGTCAGTGCTCCTAACCACTGAGCCATCTCTCCAGCCCCATAAAAAAATTTTTTTAATTACTGACATGCAATAACATGGATGAATCTTAGACATATTATGATACGTGAACAAACCAGACACAAAAGGACACAGCTCATTCCATTTACACGAAATGCACAGCATAGGCAGTTCATAGACAGAAAAGCAAATTTCTAGTCTCCAGGAGCTGGGGAAAGAGAAAGATGGGGGAGTGACTGACTGTGACAGGCATGGGATTTCCTTTGGAAGGTGAAGTTCTGGGTGCTAGACATTTTGATTATATCAACAACCTCTGAATTTTGCACTTTCATTAATGGGGTGAATTTTATGGGATGTGAATTAAATCACAGAAAATAAAGAGAAAAGAAATAGGCTTAGCACATTAAGTATACAATATATATTATTTCCCTTATAAAGAATAGTCCTCCCAGGTTGATCTCTGGGTCATCAGCCTCAGCATCACTTACCTAGGAAGTTGTTAGATATGCAAAAACATGGGAGGTGCTTTTGGTCTGTGTTGCAGTGCCCTTGGAGGCCAGAAGGGTGGGTCTGATCTCCTGGAGCTGGAGTTACAGGTAGTTGTGAGCTGCCTGATGTGGATGCTGGGAACTGAACTGACCACTGCAAGAGCAACGAGCACTCCTTTTTAAAAAATATTTTATTTTTATTTATGTATATGTGTGTATTGCCTGCATGTAGGTAAGTGCACCCATGTGGTGCAATGCCCACAGAGGACAAAAGAGGCTGTCGGATCCCCCAGAACTGGAGTTATGGACAGTTGTTAGCTGCCATGTGGGTGCTGGGATTCGAACCCAGGTTTTCTGCATGAACAGCCAGTGTTCTTAACCACTGAGCCATCTCTCCAGCCCCTACTTCCAAATTCTGGAGTGTAGATTTTCCAATTTATTCTTTCCAAAATATTTTCTTCATTTTTTATTATTAGCACATATTAATACGATAGACTACAAATTAATTGTATTTAATACAGTTGTATTAATTGTACTTTAATACGATAATACATTTGGACTCTATTCACTGCCTACTGCTTTCTCTCACACCCTCCCACTAGACACATTCCTCTTGCCAAATAGGTCTCCTTCTGTGTCTTTTTTTTCTTTTTAAATCTAGATTCTATTTGTGAGAGAAATCATACTGTATTTGTCTGAGTTTGGCTTATCTGACTTAACATGGTGACTTTGATTTCATCCAGGACATAATTTTATTCCTCTTTAAAGATGACTAGGGGCTGGAGAGATGACTCAGCAGTTAAAAAAAAAAATTAAAAATATTTATTTTTATGTGTATGTGTGTATTGCCTGCATGTACATAAGTGCATCTGTGTCATATAATACCTGCGGAGATCAGAAGACACTGTCAGATCCCCCAGAACTAGAGTTATGGACAGTTGTTAGCTGCTATGTGGGTGCTGAGATTTGAACCCAGGTCTTCTGCAAGAGCAACCAGTGTTCTTAACTGCTGAGCCATCTTTCCAGCCCTGTATTTTTTATTTTTTATTCTTATTTTACATGTATGAGTGTCTTGCCTTCATGTAAGTACACCCTTATCATGCAATACCCACAGAGACTGGAAGAATATGTCAGAACTGGAGTTACTGATGGTTATTAGCCACCATGTGGATGGTAGGAACATTGTCCAGCTCCTCTGCAAGAGCAGTCAGTGTTCTTAACTGCCAAACCATCTCTCCAGCATGTTTACATTTTCTTTATCCATTTATCTGTTGATGAACACCTAGGCTGATTTTCATAACTTTGACTATTGTGAAATCCATCATGATATCATGATAAGCCTGTATTATACTTTAAAGTCTTAAGGAAATCAGCCTCCTTATCTTGTCACCCATTCATATCTACATTTCCTCAACAAAGACCCTTGATGGTCAATGACAAAAACCCAACTCAAGAGACTGGGGACATAGCTCAGTTGGTATAGAGTGTTTGCCTGGCATGCATGAAGCCTAGGTTCCATCCCCAGCACCACATAAACCTGGCCTGGTAGTACAGGCCTGTAATCCTAGCACTGGGGAGGCTGAGGCAGGAGCATCAAGAATTCAAGGTCATCCACTGCTAATATATTCAGTTTGAAGCTGGCTTGAAATATGTCTCAAAAGCAAACAAACAAACCCTTAAAAGTAGCTCAACCCTCCCAGAATGATCCTCTTCCTTCCCCAACCTTCCTGCCACATCCTGGTGACAGGCTGACACTGCATCCAGTTGTCTCGCTAGCCCCCACTAAAATAAGTGTGGGTTATTGCTCTGCCTGTTGCTCCAGGCAGAGTGAAGAACCCTTTGACTCAGAAACACAGTACTATCTTGTTCCTCAGTGCTACACCAGGCCCTCCCCAAGCCAATTTTGTTTCATGGTTCAGTGCAGACCGGAGCCCTGGACTAGGATCTGAAGGTTGTTTGGACTCTGAGTGATTCTGCCCCCTGCAGGCCAGAGCATGGAAGAGCCGGGCTCTGCATTCCCAACCAGAGTGCCTTCAACCCCAAGTCTTTGCAGATACCTCCCATTAGGCCCAGTCCCAGCCAAACTCAAGACAACCCCAACCCAGTGACCCCCATCTGCCAGATGAGGGGACCGCACTTGTTTCTAAGGACACCACCTGCCTCTGGGCTTCCTGACAACTGTCATGGCTGGGTTCTTGAAGATTCCAACCTAGGCTCAAGTGTCAGAATTCCGAGGCTGACCACGAACTGCCTCCAGGTGCCCTTTGCAACATGCATTGGGCGACGCAGAAGAGCCGGGTTCAATTCCCAGCATTCTTGAAGATTCCAACCTAGGCTCAAGTGTCAGAATTCCCAGGCTGACCACGAACTGCCTCCAAGTGCCCTTTGCAACATGCATTGGGCGACGCAGAAGAGCCGGGTTCAATTCCCAGCACCCACAACAGTCTGTAACGCCAGTTCCAGGAGATCCCAGGCTCTCTTCCGACTTTCCCGGTCATTACACTACACGGGTACACTTACATACATACATGCAGGCAATACACCCATACACATTTAAAAATACAGAAAATAGGGCCTGGAGAGATGGCTCAGCGGTTAAGACACTGGCTGCTCTTGAAGAGGACTAGGTCCAACTCCCAGCACCCACATGACGGCTAACAATCGTCTCTAACTCCAGTTCTAGGGGATCCGACGCTGTCTTCTCACCTCCAAGGGCATTGCACGACACGGGTGACTTACATACATGCAGGCAATACACTCATACACATAAAATGCAAATAAGTAAATGAAAATATAGAAAATAAAGCATTTTAAAAATAATGATAAAGAGTTTTTAAAGAGTATATCAGATATATCAAACGCCACTGCTTTGTATTTCTCCTCAC